TGGTAGATTTGTAGGGCAAAGACTGAGCGATCGTTGGTTGCCACGTTTCTTAATGATCAAGCTATGCGTGTTAGGCTTATTGATGTAAAGAAGTCGTATTGATAGCTGGTGAGCTAGGTTCTATGAAAGTGCTAATGAATGTGGTCTATATACTGAAGGTGATCCGAGAGGATCATTGAACTAGTTGGATCACGGTGATCCTGTATCCGGTAGTTCCTGGAGCGTCGTGATCCTGCTCGTGAAGTGATCTAGCTCTGATTGGTCCGTGACCGTGGTGGACTTATGTCCTGCATGAGCTTTTGTGGGGTAAACGTGACGTAACCGCGGGGGTCGTAACAGTTGGGTAATGTAAGCACTAAATACTGATAGGCATACAGTCGCTGCGTACCAATACTCTATCGGCCTGAGCTGACAGTGATAATTATTAGGCGTAAAGTCCAGAATAGCTAGATCCGTGAAATTCTACAACCCGAGCGCTACATCATAAGCCAAATTACTATACTTGCGCAGGGGCATAAATGGTTATCCTCACGCTATCCTCGACATGATGTTGGGCTAGCAATACGTTAGAATAGTTGAAATTTCGGTACCTGGGGACTTGATAATAAAACAGCTCTATTCTAACATACATACAGAGATACATGAATAAAGATTCGAACGCTAATTACACTGATAGTGGTCTAGTTCTCTATGAACCTCTCCTAAAGCAGGTTTGCAGACCTTTATAACGACGAGGTGGCATGCAAGCTCACATAAAGAGCCCGCATATTCTAAATCATAAAAGAGTGAGCTCCAACATCATCACAGAAATTAGTGAGGCTTCAGTAACAGTGGTGACTAAGCTTAAGTGGCGATGAAACCGATGAATATGGCGCATAGAACAGCGGCAGCTACGCCGACGCTTCGCTGGACGTCTAGACTAGCCGCACTATTGTCACTGTCGTGCCCCCCGTCGCCAGGTTCACTTATATGTGTTACAAACTCACTCATAGCGCTTAAGGCTCGAGACTTTACTTCATCCAGCGTCCCCGCGATCAAGGTTTCTGTTCCATCAAAAGCCGTGCCTATGGTTGACGCCTTATCCTTGACCAGCGTTTCGCCACGGTCCAGGAGGCTGCTGCCCTTCTCATTCACTTTATCCGCAATCTCTGCGATGGAAGAGAGGAAGCTGTCGAGGTCACGTTCGAAGCGAACTTTAGGCGGTGCAGTGAGCCTGGGGCTAGTCGAATCTAGAGTAAGGGGGGGTTTATCAAACGACCCTTGGTTACTACTGAGGTTGATTAGAACATGCCACAGTTGATATGAGAGGCAAACACTGACGTCTGATGAGGGGCCTCGTCGGCCATGGCAATGCTCGTCAAAGCGAGTACGAGCATTTCTTGGTAGCGCATATTGATAGGGCGCAGATAGGGCAAATGGGGGAGGATAGAAAGCACGAGCTCGGGCAAGCAGGTATTGGAGTGGTTGGATAGGTTTTATAGTGGCGCCTGATGCTTTCCAATATAGAAGGAATCATTAGTCTCAATGCCAGTTGTGGCAAAGCGTTTACAACTATAGCATAATACTTGACTGTATTTTCTGTTGAACACCTAACAGTTACCTTTTTCTCATAGAATTCAGTGTTTTCACCTTGGTAAGGTTCCCATCCTAGTCTATATGCCGCAGCATGTAGGGGTACGCTATTTTTGTAGCCAGCGAACAAGAGTTGTATATTGTGCATGTTGGGTTATTGACGGGGGATCAATGTGATGCGTGTTCCTATAATAACTTCGACCCCCGAAACGCAGCACTATTAGGGGGGCTTGTGAGCGTGTTGAGCAAGGGAAATGGAAAGAAGCTTCTCCTTGGGAAGGTACACATGTAAGCTGCAACGGAAAATCATATTATGATGATCAGAAATCTCGTGGCGCGGTCGATCGAGCCCTAGAATTTCACACTCCCTTCTCAAAGTCTAGGTATTTAGCTCAACATCACCAGTCACGCTTATTATCCAGGACTAAATCGGAGAAACATCCTATTTATAAGTGGGAGAGTTGAGCGCGGTTCATAGATTTAACGTATGATACCAGCCAGATTAGAACTAAGGTCACAACACACTCGCCGGGGCAGGGGCGCCAGTCTTGTACAACACGTCAGTGGATACACCAATGAACCAAATAAACGTAGAATGTGACAGTCCCGCCATCCTGAAGTCCATCCGTTATATCTTACACGCTGGTTTGATACGTGTAAAATCTTACTACACAATTCCAGATTTAGCTAGCACCCTTCAAGTAGTCAGCCTTTAAAACAGTGAAAAGCACCCCAGAGCTTTTGAAAGACACCAGCGTTTCATTCCGTAGCCCTCAAATCATTGATGTAAACATGGCCCAGTCGAAACACAAGGCATCACCCAGAGTG